GTTTAGTGAGATCTCAACCCTCCCCCTATACCTCTAGCCTATGTAGATTAAACAAACACACAGCAATACACCGCTTCATATTGTGCCAAAGTCGGGCTGGGGAGGGTGCATGTTATACTGATTTAACCCACTGGATTGTGTGCCTGCACCAAGTCTAGCCAGGGAGGGATTGCATGTTAAACTGGATTAGCCCCACTAAATTTTGAGCTAAACGTCCGGCTATCCGGGTTTTGTGTTGTTCATTGTTGATTAAACGTCTATTTTACTATTTATGGACAGGACTCGATGGTCTTTGTTGTTGTGGTCTCTTAATTTTCCTACCTTTTATCTTTTTATGTATTATTGTCGTATAACAGATCTAAAGCCGTTTAATTACGAAACTATCTGCAATATATTTAATAGTCCTAAACATGCATGACAAATTTGACACTAGACGTTACGCAAACAAAAAACAATACACCAAATTGAATGTATCTAAAGTCACAATTGATACAACTTTATATAGAAATAAGGAGATGTGGTATGATTGCTAATAAGACAACTATCCACCAAAGTTCAAATGAAGTGGATGTAAGCAATTATAGGCAACCGTGCGGCCTTCAACAATGAGAAAAACCCATACCGTATAGTCGGCTACAACAGTCCCCGACATGAAAAATATGAAACAATTCAATTGAGAAAACCAACGGTCTAATCTACAACAAAAAAATTAACGAAAAACAAAGTTTCTGCTCTTTGGTCGGGTTGTTGTCTCATTGATACATTCCCCGTTTCAATTCCAATTTTATTATAGATTTAACTGCATATAAAAATAAGAATATGTGGTGTGATAGACAATCAGACAAATCCCTTCCAATGGTCAACAGTCGTTAGCAATATAGGTCACCGTACGACCTTCAACAATAAGCAAAACACACACTGTATAGCATGAAAGCTTCAAATGGCCTTGTCATGACAAACACGAAAGTTGAGTGGATGCAGAACAGAGCGAGTGAAAAAAACACGGATACCGCATGGAAACTGGCAAATGGTCCGCAATGTTACTTTGGTCAACTCACTAACTTGAAATTAAAGACCTGGCGAATTTAAGTCCTTATCTATGGCTGAGATGTATGTTTTAAAAAAAAAAAGGAAAATCAAGATTTGTTTGAACATTTTTATAATGCAAGTCGTGGTTTTAAATTATTCGCGAGTAAGCTTAAGGAGTCAATAACAAATAATCACTCCCAGAAAGACGGGAAAATCAATTAACAAAAGAAAACATGAATATACGAACTACAGTGCACAGTATATTATATACATATCTTATTTGCGATCATAAAAAGTACGAAGTCGTCCATTACTATGTAAATTGGGTCGATTAAAAAAAAAAGCTGAATATGTTTCTGTTACCAAGGGTTTTTCACAAGTATAGTAGTTAGCAGAAAAGTTCACCAAACTATACATTTTACCTATTCAAAAACGTAAATGCAAATTTCACAAGGCTTGATCCAAATAGCTTTTTACTGTCTAATAACTTGCAAGTACGAAAAAGTATATTTTGTCTATATGTGTTGTGTTTGCACACTTTTTAAAGTTGACCATGCATTCCTTCTAAAATAAAATTTTGACCAGATAAAAGTTAAAAGATGACATAATTGGACAACCGCAATTGTTAAATCGCTTTGACGTCCGAAAAAAGATAACAATCAACACATGAATTGTAACTTTTAAAGCCAGTTAAATCCCTTTTTTTGCTGAAAGAGAATGCGATATCATAAAAGTTGATTATCAAAACACAACAAAAACACAAGTAAAGAACGTTTAAGTATTCAATATAAATCAAAACACAAAAGTTTTTCGAATTATTTTATTTAGGCGTTGAGACCCTTTGGTGACCCCACAGTTTAAATGTCTAGAATAAATACGTCGTGAATAGTGGGCGTTACAGACCCTGACCCAGTCAATGGGATATTTTAGCGCGCCAATCAATGGTCTCGTCTACGCTGTTATGCACATGATTCTATTAATAGATTTCATCGAAGAAATTGTATATTTTAATATAAAATATCCCTAAACAATTCCTGGAGTAAGTTCGGTATGGCCCCGAGTATTTAGTTTATAAGATAAAAAATGACTTTAGTTGACGAAAAGACACGTGAGAAACTTATATATTAATGTTGTTGTCGAAGTTTTATTTCAAAGCTTTAATTTTTACATTCCCAATAGGTCAAAATTAAAGATTTTTACGAAATTTAACAAGGTCGTCCGGATTTCAACCAAATTCAGGCATAGGAAATAGAAAGCGCAGGCGTCAATAAACTACATATTCAAATCAGATATGTAAAATGTCATAACAAACACATAATGTTAAAAGATCTTTTTTGTCAACGCATGCGCTCTTTATTTCCTGATAAAAAAAAATTAAATGGAAATTTACCCGCTTTCATTGAATTTTCGCGGAAAATCAAAAAGAGTGCTATTTGTGACGTCATAAATATAACGCAAGTACGTAAAATTTTAACAAAAAACACTGTTTCATATTTGTTTTTCGTTCATTATACATAAATTAGGCAGTTAGTTTTCTCGTTAAAACTGGATTACATTTGTCATTTCGGGGCCTTTTATAGCTGACTATGCGCTATGGGCTTTGCTCATTATTGAAGGCTGTACAGTGACCTTTAGTTGTTAATTTCTGTGTCATTTGGTCTATTGTGGAGAATTCTCTCATTGGCAATCATACCACATCTTCTTTTTACATTTCCTATTTAGCCATTGTATAAGATATGATTCATCATGATATTGGCGGGTCAATAAATCCAAATTTGAAAATAGAAATAGAGGCCATTTTAGGGCATTATCGAGCTTTTTGTGTTTTATAAACGTTCCAATGCCACACAATTTCTTAATAGCGGCAGTGGAAACAATCATGAATGGCACAATTAAAAGAAGGTTCTGTCTTTCTTGTATTAGATACTTCGAACTAAACTATTTACGTTCGAGTTGAAAAAAAAATGTTAACAGTTTGCAGGATCACAGCATACGGATGACGACTTTGAGTTGCACCGTGTTAGCTGTTATTATTAGTGATGTGTGCTTAGCGTAAATGAATTAGATATTACTACAAATCTTTAAAGATACAGACCGTTGGTTTTCTCAATTGTTGGTGACCTTCTGCTGTTGTCTGTTCTATGGTCGGGTTGTTGTCTCTTTGACACATTCCCCATTTCCATTCTCAATTTTATACCATAAGAAAAAGAAATCTTATAACTTAAAATCTCCAAACTGAGCTATACCGAATGTGTCCGCAAAATATAAAGCGTCTTTTATTATGCATGCATCACCAGGCAAGAAAATTTCAGACTGGTAACGATCGGGAATAAATCACAATTGATAAATTTGCAGACCAAGCTAGGAAATCAATCCCAGGTACATACGTTGAAATTTTCACCATCTAGTTGGGTACTACCCCGTATGACATATATCAATGCGCACACATTCAGTGTAACTCCATTTAAGACCCCCGAGACCCCCTCTCACTTCAAACATTCGCAAATGCATTTCTAAAGCGAGTCGAACTCACAAGTCGAAAACAAACAGACTCTTGATGCCCTAATTATCTCGCATGCCAAGCTTATGTTTGCCTCTAAAGTGAAAGCAGGTCTTGCATGTGGTTATATATATAAAATGAACAAATGATATTGAAAGTACTACAACTTGTATATGATAATATATAAATAAAACAAGTCTTATTTTCCAATTTTTTTAAACAAAATTTTGTAGAAAAAATGGTGGTGGTCAATAAAAAAATGTCTGTCTTTTTAAGATATCACACGCTTTAATCAATTAAAGTAAATCAATGGCAACAGATGTTTTATTTGCTGATGGTCAATTTAAATAGAAGATAAGATGATGTGGTATGATTGCCAATGATACAACTATCAACAAGAGACCAAAAGACAAACGGCTTTCAACGATGAACAAACACTATACAGTCTTCTCTGCTCACACACTGCTTTCACGATCAGAATAACGCGTTGTTTGATCTTTCATGGCCAATATTGACTAAAAAATCAGCAAAATCCTTCTTTTAAAAAATAATTTTAACCTTTTCAAGTAAAACACTACTGTCATTTTATCTGACAAACACAAGATTAAGTTTCAAATATATCATAATTTATTTGATAAATCCAAAACGTCTGTTTTCTATAATGATTCGTAAAAGGTTAAGTTTCGCCTTTTGTGTTTTCTTAAAAAGTACTGCATTTGTTTTTTTTCTTCAGTACACGTAAAAGGAAGTTGAACCATTTTGACAGACATATCTCTTTTTTTCGGATTTTTTCCGCCTTTTGATAATGCAGCAGATCTTTTCACATATTTTGCAGTTGAATTGTATTGAATTGCTTTCACAATCCGATTGCAATGCTTGACCACCGTAGCTTATTCTTTCAGGATCCGATCGCAATGCTTGACCACCGTCGCTTATTCTTTCAGGATCCGATCGCAATACTTGACCACTGTAGCTTATTCTTTCAGGATCCGATCGCAATGCTTGACCACCGTAGATTATTCTTTCAGGATCCGATCGCGATACTTGACCACAGCGTAGCTTATTCTTTCACGATCCGATCGCAATACTTGACCACCGTAGCTTATTCTTTCACGCTCCGATCGCAATGCTTGACCACCGTAGCTTATTCTTACACTGTTTTGTTATATTATTAATGTTTTAGTTATTTCTAACTATATATGTATTGAGTCAGGCAAAGTATTTCCATTTCTCTTATGTTTGTTCTGTCCCTGTGGAACCTTAAATTAATAAAATGCAATACAAATAAATTTGCTAGTATGCATTCTTATTTTCATTCAATACAGTGTAGTCTTTTTCATTATATTAAAAGTATGCTTTAAAAGAACATAGTATAATAAGTAATTTTATTTGTACATAGAATTGAAAGCCAACAAAGAAACACAAATGCTTGTAAGTGACACCGAATATGTATGCGTCAACATATTTATTTGTACCATTTCTATTCTGCTTTATGTCTGTAATAGCAAAGCAGTAATTACATTCAACACGAACCTTCACATATATACACGCAAATGTGTTTGTTTCAAATTAAAAAACACTGAGAACAGATTAAAATAAAAGTAATGATGATTGTTTTATACTTGAACAATACTAAGTGTCAGTTATGTAGTCGCATTGTATTGTAGTCTGCAAGGACGTCTGAACATCTGGCCTTCCTCGCGAATCCATTTATTGCTAACTGAAATTGAAAACATTGTTCTTTAATTAAAACACTTTAATACATTTTATGACAGAAAAGTACGAATAAATGTCTCGTAATTACGAGATAACTATCGCGTAATTACGAGATAATCATTTTTTTACTCGTAATTACGAGATAATCATTTGTTAACTCGTAATTACGAGAAAACTATCGCGTAATTACGAGATAATTATCGCGTAATTACGAGAAAACTATCGCGTAATTACGAGAAAACTTTCTCGTAATTACGAGATAATCATCGCGTAATTACGAGAAAACTATCGCGTAATTACGAGATAAGAAGTTTTTTATCTCGTAAATACGAGATAATTATCGCGTAATCATGAGAAAACTATCTCGTAATTACGAGATAATCATTTGTTTTTTATCTCGTAATTACGAGATAATCATCGCGTAATTACGAGAAAACTATCGCGTTATTACGAGATGAAATAAAATGCTTCGCTGAGCGCAGCTGGATACGCCCGCAGAGGTCCAACCCTGAACAGTTGGGGCAAAAATGGACACAATATTCAAGCTTGATACAGGTCTGAATTTGGATTGTAATTAAATATTTGACATATTATAGGTTTCTGAATAAATGTAGTCAAAGAACTTGAAATTGGTTATATGAATTGAATTTATATTCAATTAAAGATTTCTTGCTGTTGTGCAATACACTGTGCTGTTGCGCAATACTTAGTAAATCTGTTGTCAGACTATAAACAAATAAAGTTCAATTAATTCTTAATGTCATATTAGAAATTAATGAAAATGTAAAGGGAGCTTACATCAATAGATATAAACTATTCACCAAAGTTTCATGAGAATTGCTGACAGCATTTTTGAGTTATTGTCCGAAAACTGGAAAATCACCCCTTTTTTGATGAATAAAACCCAATAACTCAGAAATGATAAATGAAAAATTTATAAAATTCTAAACAGAGCTTATATCAATAGATATAAACAATTCACCAAAGTTTTATAAGAACTGCTGAGAGCATTTTTTATTTTTTGTCCGAAAACTGGAAAAGCCCCCTTTTTTTATGAATAAAACCCCATAACTCGGAAACGTAAAATCTAAAATTAATAAAAAACGAAATGGAGCTCCCGTCAATAGACATATCAATTCACCAAATTTTTATGCAAATTAATTAAAGCGTTTTTGAGTTAATGTCCGACATGTTGGCGACGGACGGACAGACGGACAGACGGACAACGGTATACCATAATACGTCCCGTAAACGGGCGTATAAAAATGATTATCTCGTAATTACGAGATAAAAAAATGATTATCTCGTAATTACGCGATAGTTTTCTCGTAATTAATCTCGTAATTACGCGATATTTTATTTTTTTGTGACCCTAATAGGCTTTCGTAGAAAAGTGTGGATTGAACATACGTACTGTGCAAGGGTCTCTAAAAACACCTCAAAGGACCTTCTTTGTGCACAACGGAGCACAACGGACCACAAAGGAGTGTAATAAAAGCACAAAGGACCTTTAACTGGATATTTTGCAAGAAAACACTGTAATTTCTGAAGAAAAATTTACAAAAAAATATTTTAAAAATATGAAAATTGCGGTTATATAATGTTCGACATGGTGTATTCATCGGTACCTGATCGGAACTGATTTTATATCCGGTTTATGTCATAGCTTATGTTTGTTAATTTATATATATATATATATATATATATATATATATATATATAGTAATTGAATAATCAGTAAATCAGAAATGTCAATATACACTTTCTTTTATCAAAATTTATACTGAACAAAAACAAAAATATCTATCAAAATTTCTTACTATATGAATGTGAAGAAAATGTTTCGCAAAAAGGATCGGTAGGTCCATAGCAGTAATTCTCAAGCTATGAAATTGGCATGCATTTTTTTACTCTGTTTTTCAGAAATGTCAATATGTACTATGTTGTATCAAATTTTATTCTCGACAAAAACAAAGTATCTACCGAAATTTTCTTACTTGACGAATCGTAAACGCTATGAGGAACGCAAAGTACACACGGCGCAATAAAGAATGGACTGCACATACTGTCTTTTGTATTAAAATGATAACGGAAAAAATACAATTTGAAATGAAAATTGGATATAAAAAAAATGATTATTTTAACAAGTACTTTATGAAATTTACTTTCTGTTATTTGTGTCTTGACATCTTTCACACATAAATAAATAACCAAGTAAATATATAGATTGACAAAATCATAACTCATTTCGAAATGATAACCGTCGCAATTAAAAAAGTATTTTTTTCTATAGAAGAACTCTCTCATTTTATATTTCTAATAACATTTTGAACACGGTTTCCTAGATCTTCAACTTACCGATTTAACGCAAGTATTGAATAAAAATAAATATTTCTTTCGTATGAAACGACTTTTCCCCCCATTATATACACAATTTCATATCCTGTGTGCTCTTATAATACTCCTTTGTGGTCCTTTGTGCTACATTGTGCTCCTTTGTGCAAATAGGAGGTCTTTCGTGGTGTTTTTAGAGACAGCGGGAGCGAACACAGTGAAGTTATTGTACACGGAAGCGAACACAGTGAAGAAATTGTATACTGGAGCAAACACAGTGAAGTGATTGTACACGGGAGCGAACATAGGTCAAAACTTGTACACGGGAACGAATACAAAGAAGGAACTGTACACGCAAGCAAACACAGTGAAGTCAGTGTACACAGGAGCGAACACAGTGAACTTATTTATTGTATACTGGAGCGAACACATCGATGTAATTGTATACTGGAGCAAACACAGTGAAGTGATTGTAAACAGGAGCGAACACAGTGAAGTAACTATACACAGGAGTGAACAGTGAAGTAATTGTATACTGGAGCGAACACAGTAAAGTAATTGTACACGGGAACGAACACAGTGACGTACTTGTACACGGGAGCGATTACAAAGAAGGAATTGTACATGGGAGCGAACACAGTGAATGTAATTGTACACGGGAACGAACACAGCGAAAAAACTTGTACACGGGAGCTAACAGTGAAGTAATTGTAGTGTGGAGCGAACAAATCGAAGCAATTGTATACTGGAGCAAACTCAGTGAAGTGATTGTAAACAGGAGAGAACACAGCGAAGTAACTATACAGGAGCGAGCAGTGAAGTAATTGTATACTGGAGCGAACACAGTGAAGTAATTGTACAATGGAGTAGACACATCGAAGTAATTGTATACTGGGGCAAACACAGTTAAGTTATTGTACACAGGAGCGAACACAGTGAAGTAACTATACACATGAGCGAACAGTGAAGTAATTGTATACTGGAGCGAACACAGTGAAGTAATTGTACACAGGAAAGGACACAGTGAAGTACTTGTACACGGGAGCGAACACATTGAAGTACTTGTACACTGGAGCGAACACAGTGACGTTATGGTACACAGGAGCGAACACAGTGAAGTAATGATACACGGGAGCAAACACAGTGACGTAATTGCATACGGGAGCGAAAAGAGCGAAGAAATTGTGCACGGGAGCAACACAGTGATGTAATTGTACACGGGAACGAACACAGCGAAAAACTTGTACACGGGAGCTAACAGTGAAGTAATTGTAGTGTGGAGCGAACATATCGAAGCAATTGTATACTGGAGCAAACTCAGTGAAGTGATTGTAAACAGGAGAGAACACAGCGAAGTAACTATACAGGAGCGAGCAGTGAAGTAATTGTATACTGGAGCGAACACAGTGAAGTAATTGTACAATGGAGCAGACACATCGAAGTAATTGTATACTGGGGCAAACACAGTTAAGTTATTGTACACAGGAGCGAACACAGTGACGTTATGGTACACAGGAGCGAACACAGTGAAGTAATGATACACGGGAGCAAACACAGTGACATACTTGCATATGGGAGCGAAAAGAGCGAAGAAATTGTGCACGGGAGCAACACAGTGATGTAATTGTACACGGGAACGAACACAGCGAAAAACTTGTACACGGGAGCTAACAGTGAAGTAATTGTAGTGTGGAGCGAACATATCGAAGCAATTGTATACTGGAGCAAACTCAGTGAAGTGATTGTAAACAGGAGAGAACACAGCGAATTAACTATACAGGAGCGAGCAGTGAAGTAATTGTATACTGGAGCGAACACAGTGAAGTAACTGTACACTGGAGCAGACACATCGAAGTAATTGTATACTGGGGCAAACACAGTTAAGTGATTGTACACAGGAGCGAACACAGTGAAGTAACTATACACAGGAGCTAACAGTGAAGTAATTGTAGTGTGGAGCGAACATATCGAAGCAATTGTATACTGGAGCAAACTCAGTGAAGTGATTGTAAACAGGAGAGAACACAGCGAAGTAACTATACAGGAACGAGCAGTGAAGTAATTGTATACTGGAGCGAACACAGTGAAGTAACTGTACACTGGAGCAGACACATCGAAGTAATTGTATACTGGGGCAAACACAGTTAAGTGATTGTACACAGGAGCGAACACAGTGAAGTAACTATACACAGGAGTGAACAGTGAAGTAATTGTATACTGGAGCGAAAACAGTGAAGTAATTGTACACAGGAAAGGACACAGTGAAGTACTTGTACACGGGAGCGAACACATTGAAGTACTTGTACACTGGAGCGAACACAGTGACGTTATGGTACACAGGAGCGAAAACAGTGAAGTAATGATACACGGGAGCAAACACAGTGACGTACTTGCATACGGGAGCGAAAAGAGCGAAGAAATTGTGAACGGGAGCAACACAGTGATGTAATTGAACACGGGAGCGAACACAGTGAAATACTTGTACACAGGAGTGAACACAGTGAAGTGATTATTAGATGGTACACTATACTAGTCGTGAATTATATTTTATAGAGTGAAAAAAAGCCTTTCCAATATACATACTCCATTTAGATCCAAGTAATACTGGGCATCCTCCGTGCAGCAATCGTGTGTCTATTTCTCCATTTGGAAGAAGATTATACCAAAATGCAGCAGCTCCCTTAAGTAAAGTAAACAAGTTTTATTTACCTTCATCCTTTCATTTATTTTCTTTAAATCTTGATATAGCGGAGCATATTGTTTTGGCTCGGTACTTATACATTCCGCCATTATGTATTTTTGTATTCTTGTCTTTCATTTTTGCTTATGTGCTTTGTCTATATGTCATTTTGTTTTTCTTTGTTGACATATTTGTTTGTTTTTATAGTGATTAAGAATATAACACAATGTTGTCTGCTGTACTCCTATTTTTGACATTTTTACGTATTATGTCTGTTTGTTTTGTTCACACATTGCTGTCAATATAATGGAATTTTATGCAACTGTCATACAAGTGAGAGGTTTAGCTAGCTATAAAACCAGGTTTAATCCACCATTTAAACATAGGAAAATGCCTGTTCCAAGTCAGGAATATGACAATTGCTTTCTATTCGTTTGATGTGTTTGAGCTTTTGATTTTGTCATTTGATAAGGGACTTTCCGTTTTGAATTTTCCTTGTTCGGTATTTTTGTTATTTTACTTTTCACATGGCCACTCATACCAAACAATCAAATTAAGCAGGAGTGTGTAGCTCTGGGGTGGATATGTATGGTATGTAAGTATAAAGTCTTACGAAACCGTTATGAATTTCTGGTGATTATAATGTTAAGGAAATTATTGAACCAATGCATGCATATGGGCCATATTCAAATTATGCCAATATCCAGATATAATTTAGAATAAAACAAGCTTCATCTGAACTCAACTTTAACAATACCAATGATTTTTTTTTTAAATTGAAATATACAATATTAACAAAACTTTGAAATATCATTTCAATGCAAAATTAAACTATATGTGTCGGAACAAAACGAATAGCCCCGTTCGCCAAAAAAGCTTGAAGCCATTTTTAGGAGTGGAAACTTGATAATGAAAGGATGATAATTTTCACAAAAATCAACTCGTAATTTCGGCAAAAATCAGCGGAGCGGAAACAAACATACATTCGATCTGTAACTCGTCATAGTACTCTTACATACTAAAATCAGCTCAATCCTGGTATCTATGATAAGTTTATATACTCAATTATGTGAAGGCGTTAAGAAAAAAAAAACCTACAACTGTTATTTTCATGACCAAAACCCGTAATTTCGGCAAAAATCAGAGGATTGGAACCAAATGTAAACTCGATCTGTAACTCATCCTAGTAGACTCATATAATAAAAATCAGCTTGATATGTGAAGGCGTTTTGAAAAAAAAGTCCGTATAACTGTTATTTTCACGAAATTTTAAAGGTCCGTAATTTCGGAAAAAAACCAGCGGAGCGGACCAAACGTAAACTCGACCTGTAACTCATCATAGTAGACTCGCATTTTGAGTGATCAAACATAAATTTCATGTCTCAGGTCGTTTTTTTTTCAATTTAAAGTTTCTGTATCTAAGTCCTCTTTGCATGTTTTTTTTTTTTACATATATTACGAATCCATAGTATAACCGAAAAAAAATAATTCATTCGATGATTGTGGATTGAAAAACTTTGGCTGCTAATCAACTTTCGGGTTTTTGTGCCGAAGTTTATCGATTGTGATCTTGATAAACAATTGACACAGACTCGTGGATGTTGCGGCGAACTCGTGTATAATAAGTGAGATGGTAGAGCGATATTTTTTATTTGTGTTTTATTATATTTTCCATGTTAAAACAGTTGTTCAAACATTTGATGCTATACTTTAACATCTTTCTTTCATAATCGGTAAATAATCTCTTTCTGCCACGTTTGCTAACGTTCTCACCTTCATAACATTTTTTGTAACGAGAGGTGTCTTATCGGACATTTTCACCAGAAGCAAATATTTATCTTATTTCTTTTATTTTTTCTAATTTATTTATCTAAAATGTGATGCAATGACTGATTCTCTATCATGCAGTTCTCTTCGTGTTATTAGATGATTCGGCAAAAAAAAAAAACGACTTTGAAATATTCCGTTTTCCTCAATATCTTTTTATTTGACTGATAAACCATTGGTTTGATTTGATAATAAAGAAACACAGACATCACTTGACAATGAGAATAATTTTTCCTGTGATATAAAGAACGTAATATTAATCAGAGCCTTTCGATTGTACAATGTACTTACTAGTATGTTAAACAAACGCGTAATGTACTACTACTGACAATTAATTCACAATTCAAAACAATGCGGGTTTTTTATTTTAATTATAGGGCCAACTATCATGATAACCATTCGTCTATTGACCAGATATCAACAACTCTTGCCAACCTAAACTCTTTTTTCAAAATCAACCTGCTGAAACGTTTGAAAAATACGACATACATGAAATGCGTTGCTTTTTATATACCTGATACATGAGAAAAATGTGAGAATATTTGACACGGCAATGTTTTTTTCCGTTGTTTAGATCTAAGTCGAATGTGGTAAGTATTCAGTTTGCGTCAATATTTCAATTCATACTCAAAATTAACTGTGTCTGTTTCAGAATCATTTTTTTAGTGTATTTTTGGTTGTGCAAAATATTTGTCTTGCTTTAATATATAATTTATCAAATGGTACTTTTTCAACAGGGATTCTTGTGTTTAATTCTGAAAAAATGGTAGCTCCTCCTTCTCTCACGTCATTCATCTGAAAGATAAAAAAAAACCCGCTTAGGTCAAGCTGACGATCGACGGAGGAAAAGCTGTTCATCATACATTGTTGTTGTCCCGTACAAGTACAACTAAATCTTCGAATTAACAACGAACACTAAAATTAATTGAAAATAGTCCTTAAGGAGTCAGCCTATCGTTAAAGGGTACAACTCCTTAAGGAGTCAGCTAATTGTTCAAGGGTATATCTCCTTATGGAGTTAGCCAATTGTTTAATGGAATTAATCCTTAAGGAGTCGACCAATTAATTGAGGGTATACCTCCTTAAGGAGTCAATCGGTTATCTAGCATCTAAGTTTGTAGTTCTGACTTTTTGCGTGAACCCCCTGAGGGGTTCACGCTTATATATTGGCGAGTTTTGGAAGTGTCTATGGGTCACTAGATATCCTCGGAATCACGATTCTCGGAATGTTTCGAAAATTTTCCATTATTTATACAGGTAGTTATTTATGTCTTTGATACGGCCCCTCTATGGATAGGCTACCACGTGACATTGTATATTTCAACAATCCGGCAAAGTTCATTTGTAGATTTGAAAGTAAAACAATAAAGACTAGGTTGCATTCTAAAATTCAATATATGTTAGAACCTATTTGCATTTTGACAAAACATATATGTTTTAATAATGTGAATGTTTATTAAATATCAAGTATAATAATAACGCAATTATATAATGCATGCTTTGAGACGGTCCCTCTACGCGTTATGTGTGAAGTTTTTAATAAACCTGGGAATTGTTTATCGATATACAATGACCCAGAATAAATTGATTATTTCTGAATGTTTATCATTTGATATTTAGTATTTCAATCATAGCATGAGAAAATGTCGGAAAGCATGAAGAAAATAAAGAAAACGATATTTCTGTTAAAAATATTTATCTAAGGTCGGAAAAACAGTGGTCGGTAAGCAGAAAGATAATCAAACAAAAGAATTCTTCTATAAAAAAATATCTAATTTCATTAATAGATACTACCAGACTAAGAGAATATTCATTGTTAAGGTAAAACTGCGACTGAATTTATCCCTTATAATTATGGAATAAAATTAATATTGTAATGTATACGTGCATTATGTCTTTTATGAAAATTATTTATGACGTATGAGCACCAATGAGCAGGGGTGCGTACCCAAAGTTAGCTAAATATCTAAATGTTAAACGGTCGTGAATGAAAAAAATACTTGCGTGGTTTCAATTCACAAGGATTTTAAATCCTTGCATCTCATACATACAAAAATGTTATTAATATTTTACAATAGTCATAACAAAATTAATTACTATCATAATGTTAATTATTTTATACTGTTTAGTATGGATTTATAAGTCTCTGCTTATATTTTGTATAGCAATTTATTATACCTCAGTTATCATTTTCTATATAAAATAAGTACACAATATTTTGACTATTTTTTTCAAATTGGAAGCGTTGAACTATTTGACCGGTCAATAGTTTCCAACTATTGGACCTCGATGAAACTATCTGACCGCAAGCGTCAATGTATTTCGCGGAATTTCAAATGCAGCTACGGGATTGGAGGATTTTGAAAATACCGCGGAAGTAACGACGTCGCGTTTTACCTATTTTATCTAGGGTTGACGTCAGTGCAAGACGTAGCCTTAGCATTTTAGAATATTTATGAAGTAAACGTTATGGTTGGGTTTCTGCCTTTTATATTACGATAGTTTATCTATCACCGCCGTTTATTGTCTGTTGTCTTTTTCGATATAATAAAACACCTACTGACTGATATTCGTGGAATAGTAAGTTTATTGTCCCCTCGGATACAAATATTGCCCTCGGCTACGCCTCAGGACAATAGTTGCACCTCGGGGGACAATAAACTTACTATTCCACTCATACCCAGTCAATAAGTATATAATATTCATATGGTGGAATGTTAGACTTTAAAAAGAGATTCATTTGATAAATAAAATGTCCATCCGTAAATACTTGACATTTGTGTTTATTGATATTATATTCAAGCTATTTTCGGGGAAAAGTTTACTAACAGGAATGTAAGTTTATTATAAAATTTCAATTCTTTTTTTTTTCTTTTATTATTTCAACCTCATAGCATCTAAAAATTTGTACCATATATGGTACGGTTTTGAAAATTGTATTCATTGTGTTGACCAGCTATCCTACACGTCTTGATTCATTTACATTATACATCATCCTGTTCGTACGCACACAACAATTCCGGATAAAATGTCAATGAATCCGGAGTAAAAATACTTGAGGTAGGTAGTTTGACATCCGAATTCAATTATTAGATTACTATATGTGATGACGCAAAAGCATATTCTTATCCAGAGTATCAGTGCTTATGCTTTCTATTTATTTCTTGCGCATAAATACCATGATTTTTCGCTTTTCTTATCTAAATTCAGGACGCGGCAGCACGAGCTTGACATTTGACTTTCAAGCACGGTCATCATTGCTAACGGTATTCTGACCTCTAGCTGTTTCTCTTTTGTTTTCTTTTTTGAGTCACTGTACTTTTAGAAACTTTGACATTTTCAAAACGCCAAATATTTTCTACCCAAAAGAATAGATTACTTAACTTCGTACTTTATTTGGCCTTTTTAACTATTTTCATTCGAGCGTCACTGATGATTCTTTGTAGACTTAACTCGCGTTTGGTGTACAACATGTGAATCCTGGTATCTTTTTATATCTACATGTCTCTTTATATAAATTGGTTCTTTTGAGAGTATCTTCAGGTATTCATAAAACTTCTGAAAATAAGATATTGTTCAAAACCAAGTTTCCCTGTAGAATATTTGGATTGATTTAAGTAAAATCAGGAATTCCTTAAAATTTGAGATGTTTTATGAGACCAGTCTTATTAAAATCAAACCTCTCAGCGCTAGATGTAGATAGAAAAATAGTTTTAATCAGACTGTTATGAGACCAAAATAAGTCTCTATATAAGAGGTCCAAATGAAGCTGGTGTGGTAATCTCAAGAAAAATATACGAAACCTTCTTATAAGTTGCATGCCACAGGGTTTCCCTTCACATGGAAAATGGACTTTGAATTTATCTATACAACATGTACCATGAGTACAGACAACTTTAATAACGAGTTGAGAATATGAAGGCATTCATGCAGGAAACCTAATATAAAGATACATGTATGATAGATAAAATAAATGGATCCAGATTATAAAGCAAATGGAGTGCTTAAATTTATATTGCGATTGGTTTGTGCAATTTGCATTATACATCCGGTTTGTAGAAACTGGGATTTACAATAGGATTATGAAAAAATGATGTACAATCCCAAGTATAATTGAAATAGTCGAGCTTAAAATGTATATTCAAATAGTAGCTGTATAAACACTTTTCTATTCACAACTATCCGGCACTGCTTTCAACTGACTTGTGCAAGAATGTACACACTATTACATATTTTAATAAAGGTAGTTTAACTTCATCATAATCATCTTCTATTCACAGTCAATTATTTCGATTCAAAATCAAACAAAAAAATCAGCAACAATCTTTTGGTGACCAGTCAGCGGTCTTAGGTTCACGTATTGCTTTTCTTTTTTTTTAAAGAAAGCAACTTGTTTTGTTGTTTACAGTTTCTTCCTTTCTAATATAATTAGTTATATAGGTCACTAGTACACTGTGTAACGAATTTATCTTACCGACTATCTTAACATGTGGCATTTAGTAGAGTGGCCTAAAGGGACGTAACACCACTACTAACCGTGTATTAAAATAAGCCTCGCCTGCTAATATAAATACGAAGATGTGGTTTGAGTGCCAATGAGACAACCCTCCACCCAAGTCACAATGTGTAAAAAGTAAACAATTATAGGTCAAATGACGGCCTTCAACACGAAGCCTTGGCTCACACTAAACAGCAAGCTATAAAGCCCCCCAAAATAACTAGTGTAAAACAATTCAAACAGGAAAACCAACGGTGTAATCTATATAAAAAACGAGAAGCGAGAAACACTTATGAACCACACCAACAAACGACAACCACTGAACAACGGGCTCCTGACTTAACCCCATATGAAATATACACGGTCTCCATGCGGTCGCTTTCAACCAATCATATTTCTGGAAATGTATAGGAGTTAAGATAATATAAGATAAAGTTTAATATGAAAGATGATAGGCAAAAACATGAAAATTGCCAATAATCGTCATTAAAAGGCAATAACTCCTCGAGGATTCATCTGATTATTTTGGTGAAATAGAAAGTTTGTAGATCTTGACATTCTTGACAAGGACAGTGCATTTTGAATGAAAGCGGATGATTGCAGTACGAAATTACTACGAAATACAATGTATTATATTCTATACTGAAACTGTTGCGAAAATTGCATTGACCCTGTATTCTTTTGTGATATACAGTTGATCGTATATCGCCTTGTTTTTAACGTTGATAATGTGTTTCAGTATAGTTTTATTTCTGACGCCTATAAAGAATAAAGGTTCGTGGAAATTTTACATCGGACGTCCGCTTTAAATTCAAAACACCAAACCTATTTCATTTGGAACAATTGTAAGTGTTAAAAGTGTAAAGAGATCAACCATAAATTGTCTCGAAATATAAATTGTATTTGTACAAGGATCGAAACATGATAGAAATGCTTTACCTGTTTCTGGGCCTTGTTCAAAGTTTCATGTTTTGAGACAATGTATAAAAGTATAAAAAAAAAAAAAAAAAAAAAAAAACGAACGCCATGGTGACTTCAAAAAGGGAAAGTCAATTAAAACGGTCAAAATCAAACACTAAACTCTATCAACTAACGGAACAAATGAAAAACAACTGTAATATTCCTGACTTGGTACAGGCAATTTCCCTAAGAAAATGGAGGGTTAAACCTGGTTTTATAGCTATCTAAACATCGTTCTTGTATGTTGTTTATTGTTCCGTTATATTGACAAAATTGGGTGAGCAACCCAAACAGATATAATAGGTTAATATTGACACCGATTTTGATCCAGCAGCCAAAACTGTGTAAACATACACTACAGACATACAACACAACTGGCTTACAGATTTAAACATACATACAAATAAATCTAACAAAGACGCCGACAAAAAAGTTCTTGTAGTTGAAAGTAAATTTGACAAAGACACCAACAACAAATTTGTATAGTTATTCTATATTTAATGTGTTGTCTCATTGACATCCAATCTATATCATTATTCTATCATTATTTGAATACCTGTTGTATATATGGTTCCTCACTGTATATCTAAGTGCATGCAGTCAATATGCAAATAAACTTGATAAAATCAATACAACATATTTATTACTTAAAAAAGTAAAACTGTATACATTTATTTATTGATTAATCAATAAGTGCCTTTTTAATGTCCAGCGGCGAACATCGTTGCATCTTATTGTTTTTTTTATATTGTTATGTCTTTCGCTCTGTCGGTGTTGGTTTCTTTTCTTCATTAACATTTTTGATAATTAAACAATGTTACCCAAGACTAAAATATCAAGTAGTACACCTCCAAAGGATTTAAAGACGCCACAAGCGGTCTGAGAAAAGCTTGACTTTGGGCAATGCCAAAATATACGTATCGACAGGATGTAGGACCATAAGTTCTACTTACTGGATAGCAAGTCGTGTTGAGTTATGTATTTAACTTGTCTATCGTTGAAAAAGTATGGTACTCTTCAGATTTTTTTTGGTAATTAAGGGTTGTTGTTTCATTGATTAGTCATCTCTTATTCGAATTCGCATACTTCTAGTAAACACAAATTATTTTACTTACTCCTAAATTATCGGTAACATAGAATTGGTAAATGCATTTTGTAACTTACATAGAATATCCATGTTGCAATTCTATCTCCGGATCCTCGAACACTTTCATGATCTCCGTCTGCCGGCGGACCCCATATGGGATTATACTGAAACATTTAAGAATGGTCATACTTAAATAATACATTAATGGTTTTACTATATACACTTTGACAATTAATTCTCGCTTTCTCTTTTTAATTCTTAATTCATCAATCAAGATACAGCTGATTGAAACAACTAATTTCCATGAGTCATCAAATGAACAATAAAATTGCCTTAAGTTTTTTTTCTTGATAAGTCATCAGACCTTAGAAAAATAGTTTCTATTGTCTTTCAAATTAATATACATTGTCATAAACAAATTTCAAATAAAAACATTGTATTTACATAATACTAGCAAGACGAGACCCTCATTCGTAACAATTACATTTGAACTGTAATTTCATAATCTTTCGTTTTACTCACCAAATTGTCTCTGTGCACATTGAAGAATCCACCAATTCCATAGTTAACAACCTGAGATATATAATAGTTTTATATGGACTTATCACAGTAGATAATAGTACGTACATGTCGAGATGACTCTCAAGCTTTATTATATACATGGAAGTATGTACAAGTACAGAAGGACGGACAATTTTCCCTGAATTTGTTTTAAACATCGGGGCAATTTCTAAAAGTCTTTGTATCTGAACTTATAATAGATTCACAGTATAACAGTTCAATGTTTAAGTTTTCATTAATCGAATGGCTTAATCTAAAACATATAAACTATTTATAAACGCCAGAAGAAAGTCTAAAACCGACGCTTTGGGCAAATTTTGAGTATTTATCCCCTCCTCTCTCCAAAAATAAAACAAAAAAGAGAAGGATTTCGTTTACCACAACTAAAATTCTGTTGGCAGTAAAGTATTCGGACACAAATCAGTGAATTTTGGTTTGTGACGTCCTTCAATGCAAAATTTGACAAAAATGCAAAATTTTCACTATTGGATCAAAATGCCTTCAATCTCAACATATGTAGCAATGAATATCATTTTAATTTGATAGAGATATGTAAAATTGTTGAAAACATAACTAGACTATATAATTTACACTCTATAGTATTTGATTTCCATTTAATGAAAATAACAATTCATAAATGTTATGGATTAACCTTCATTAAGAAAGCTCAAATCTAACTATTAGAAAGCCAGTGACTCTTTTCACAAAAAATATTACGATTAAACTTGATCGTAAGTTATACCGAAATGTGTATGACTTACGAGTATTTACTCTTAAATATTTTTGTAAAAAAAAGCGCAGGGCAGGGATGTATAAATACACAGAAACGTTATCACCAAAAGGAACATAAAAAGAACCAAAAAAGAATAGACAAATTCATAAAAGGTAAACTTTGCCCGAGGAAGTTGGAACCTTAGTTTCTTAATAATTTCGTAATGTATTACGAGGATTTTTTTTTAAATATTGTATAATTCATGTCAGTACAGCAGGAATGATTAATAAGCATATAATACCCTCGGGGACTAACAGTCAAACAGTAGTGGTATCGAGACAGCTTATAATACCCTCGGGGACTAACAGTCCAACAGCAGTGGTGTCGAGAGAGCTTATAATACCCTCGGGGACTAACAGTCCAACAGCAGTGGTGTCGAGACAGCTTATAATACCCTCGGGGACTAACAGTCCAACAGCAGTGGTGTCGAGAGAGCTGATAATACCCTCGGGGACTAACAATCCAACAGCAGTGGGATCGAGACAGCTGATAATACCCTAGGGGACTAATAGTCCAACAGCAGTGGTACCGAGACAGCTTATAATACCCTCGGGGACGAACATTCCAACAGTAGCGGTCGAGACAGCTTATAATATCATCGGGGACAAACAGTTCAACAGTAGTGGTATCGAGACAGCTGATAATACCCTCGGGGACTAACAGTCCAACAGTAGTGGTATCGAGACAGCGTATAATAACCCCGGAGACGAACAGTCCAACAGCAGTGGTATCGAGACAGCTTATAATACCCTCGGGGACTAACAGTTCAACAGTAGTGGTATCGAGACAGCGTATTATACCCCAGGGGACGAACAGTCCAACATCAGTAGTATCGGCACAGTGCAACAAATTGAAAAATAAAAGTTATAAATTTCCTGCATCCGAAGCGCTTTTCTGGATTGATCTTCATCAGGAACGCTTAAACATAAACATTTGAATGTCAAGATTGTAAAATTACGTAGAAACGTTGGAAGCTATATGACCAGAACCACCCAACCCCCTAAAGAATTATCTCTGGGAAATTTTAGTAAAACTACAATACAATTCGTTCTGTATCAGTGATGCATCATTATATCTTTATCTATCACGGCTCCACAGGCTTTATCAAATCCAATCAAACCGTAAAACGTTTGATTTAAGCGTATAATAAAGATTTTATGATATATAGTTTTCACAATCACCGTTTTAACCCACAACCAGTATAATCTCCAAAGCAGAGCGCTCGGATTGAAATCTGTGTCGAGTTGATACGGGTATGATAATGAGCAATATAATATTTTCGATAAACAATGGATAGTTTTTTTTTCTGAACTGATTTGTATTGCACATTCAACTTTTTTTTATCTTTTGTTATTCTGCTCATCAGTAAACGGAGGCTTGAATATTAAAAAAAAATCATGCAATTTTTGCGGGTCTTACATTTGTTTATAAATATATCTGCACAATATCAGGATCTTTGTCAGTAATCTTCTTCAATAATTTGGTTTCGTGAGATGGCCTATAATTGGTTTTCTGTAAAATTCGTCTACAACATTGTGTAAGCTCGATCAATGGTAAACACATTGTCGTTTTTGGAGAATTATTTGGTGACCTCTACATATTGTTATCACGTGTGTTTGTGGGGTAGGTGGTTACAGACCCAACATGATCATTTATCCTTTTCATATGTTAACCTTTTAAGTTATTAATTGAGTCAAAATTTGAAAAAGTGTAAAATCCTATTGGAATTGGAATATCAAACAGTCTATATCATATCATTCAAACATATGTTGCCCATAAGAAAGGAATTTTATTCAGCACTACATATTGCTGTTGAAGGCATTTTGATTATGTTGACGTTTTGAAGAACGTCTCTTATCAATACAATACAATATACAATTATGGCCCGTTGAAAAAGTGAGTATCCAAAATTGTCAACACGAGAAGGTTATTTCACTGAGGGCGCAGCCCGAAGTGAAATAACTTTGAAGGGTTGACAATTTTGGATATTCATCGCTTCTAAGGGGCCACAATTGTTTTATTATACCGAACTAACAGTGGAAGGGCATTTTGAATCATTGTAAAAGCACTTACCCTTACTTGAGTCAGTAACAAACACAAGTTGACGTTCAAAAATACATGTAATTTGTGTCTTAGAATTCTCGTATGTACAACAAAGGTAAATTCTTTTTGTAAAATATTGATGGCCCTGAAAAGTTATTAGAGATATCATCGGCACAAGATGCACGTCAAAAGCCTTATTTCCTCTTCTCTTGATCAATGGGCTTCCTGTAACTTGAACGTTGCCATTTTGTTTATTTACGTTTGTGACGTCATTTTCATGAGTACAAATCAACAAACTAAAAAGGTTATTCGCCGGTGAATAATAGGGTTATTCAACGCTGGTGTAATTTTTAAGGGTTATTCGTTCTTCCTTGCAATTGAATGAAAATTAACTGAATTATTCCATGTCACGTGATAACGTTTTACCCAATAGAATTGTTTGAAATATATGTAAGGTATAATAATATGATTTATTACTAACCAAAGTGAATTAATGTGTATCCTAAAGACAAAAAATGGCTTGTCTTACAACATAATTTTTAATTGATTAAGGATGTTATTTTTTTCAATGATTTCTTCAGCATGGCTGAGGCATTGGTTTTAAAAATGTTTGTTACATAATCATATAATTAACTTTAGTTAATACATTATCTATTTCTAGTGGAATGATTTAGATGATACGAAACACGCTATTCATAAAAAGAAAAGCAGATTTGAGGTCGAAAACTATAGATCAGTAAGTTTGAGGGTGTTTCATTGAACCTATCACCGTTTAATCTTTTTATACAGACAATTGATAGTGAATTATCACAAATTAATAATTATCCTTTATAATTAGGTTCTTCAGATGACAGGTGGCTTATGCTTGCAGACGACTTATTATTATTAACATACTATATAACAAAATATTAAATTTTCAGTCCACCCCGCGCGGAAGTAGTCAGGAAGACATTATTATGTTTTCAGGGGTTGACAGGATACACGTAATCGTTATCAATTTTAACTTCACGGTTCTTATGCAAGCAAATTTAATAAACAATGATTTTATACAGTTGTTTTTTTTTGTTGTTTTCACCTTGCATAGGGCTTTATTTATGATCTTATTTCTGTGTACACAAATCTGAATCTACATATTTCACCTCTATCAATATTAGGAAATCAGTTTGAACGATTCCATATACCATTATGTTTTAGGGTTTTTTAGCTTCAGTGTCGAGTTGGTGTATAGTATTAAGGGTTGGCTGCGAGAAATAAATCATTTTTTTCTGAGAGATTAACTGAATTCAAAACCAATATAAATATAGTTAACATATATATTTTATTTAACTGAGTAAATTGATCGGAATTAGAATGATACATAAACCTAAAATTCTTTTTGGTCTATCCCAGTCATGATATTTGCGCGGGAATTTCTTCCATTGACATCGTAATATAATTTACTTTGGATTACTGGTATCTTTAGATTACTGTGATAGGATTTAATGTGATATTATTTGTCTCTTCTTCTAAAATACATAGTTTGACGTCAGGTTTGTAGACATGAAGTCTCTAGTCTAGTCAGATCTGAAGTATAAATGTACTCATTCTCAATTGTATGTACTGCATATCCCATCCCTTCCCTACGTCACCCTGCTCAGTCACTCCGTAATTCTCGTATCACGGCTTTGACACGAAAGCAGGCATTATCAGCAACGTCATAACTCGCATCATAATGTCTGGGAGATGTAATCAGCGACGTCACAATGTGTGAGGAGACGTTATCAAGCTTGCTTTTGTCTAGCGGACGTAAAAACTGTCTAAGGCCAAATTAGGGAGCTGAAAAAGCCATAATCGAACGATATACAGATAATCAGGTTTTCTTCGTATATATATCGTAAAATATCACCCACTGAGGGCACAATTTGATTCATTTTAGCTCGTTTGCTGCGCTCACTCGCCAAAAAGGTTCATTGCGGCTTGCTGGCTAATATTTTACGATATCAGTGTGTAGAAAAGCCGATTATCTATACATATATGGTCAGATCATATGTTTTCGTACGTCATATGAATTCGTACTATGCATGTTTTTTCAATGGAAATTGTGACGCCACAATGCATTCTTAATAGCACGAAAACCCATGAGAAGAGGATATATATACATGTCATATGTCAACAAAATTTTTCAGCGATGCATAATGTGTGAGGAGACCATATCAAG